AAGTTCTTTATAGATTCTAGATAGTAGACCTTTGTCTGAGGAACAGCTGGTGAAGATTTTTTCCCACATTGTGGGTTGTCTCTTCACACTGTTGGAGGTTTCTCTTGCTGTGCAGAAGCTTTTTAGTAAGAAGAGGTGAGACCTCTCTTCTTGACTTGTAGATGGATTCTTCTCCTGGTGTCTCCTTATGACCTTCCTTCAGTGTATTTGTATCATAACACCCTCTTCTCATGTGGACTTCTCTTGTGTTGGATAAGACCCACCATAATGTCTTCATCTTAACTTAATTAGCTCTTTAAAACATATAGTCATATTCTGAGAAATGGGATTAGAATTTTCATTTATGAAAATTGGGTGGACACAGTTCAGGTCATAATAAGGTGCCTATTAAGTATTTGCTGAATTAATCTATTGAAGACCATTTCTGAATATTTTATTAAAATAGTTTCTATATTAGTACCCTTTTCCTTACTATAGTGAAATAATAGACATAGGACATTTATGAAATAAAAAGGTTTGTTTAGGTCACAGCTTTGGAGGCTGAAAGTCCAAATGGTACAGTGCAAGTTCTGGAATGGCCCCACGCCAGATGGAGGGAGCTGGAGAAAGAATCACATATCACCAGCCAAGAGTCATAGAGAGCTGGGTGTAGTGAAACTTGCTCCTCTTATAATAATCCTCTCCCCATCACTCGGGGGTCACATGACAACTACCCTCTGAGAGCACCTCCCATGACATAAGGACTTCCCACAAGATCCCCCCACTGAAAGTTTCCACAGAACTTCCTTGTACTGTCACCTTGGGAACAAAGCCATCAATCACATGAAGCTTAGGAAAAAACAATTCATTAAAAAAAAATCCCATAACATTCTACCCCAAAGTTCATGTCTGACTCAGCTTTTAATTCCAATTCCATTAAGAACCATAGCTGGATGTGGTGGCACATCCTAGTAATCTCAGTACTCTGGGAGTCAGAGGCAGGAGGATTACAAATTTGAGCCGAGTCTGGGCAAATTAGTGAGGCTCTGTCTTGGCGTGAGGAAAAAAAAGGGGCTGGAGATGTAGTTCAGTGTGAAGGCCCCGTCCTGTTAAAAAAAAAGAAAAGAAAAACAAATAGCCAAAAATTACTACAGCACGAGGTACAAGAAGGGAAGTTATAAGAGATACTATCTACTATTAATTTTTAATATCTCAGCTAAGTCAAATAAATAGCAAGTTTCATGAAGTGGAGGGAGAAAAAAGAAGGAAATATTATGGTTGCTGAAAACTTGATATTTTATAAGAAGTTTGTGGTGACTTGTGTTTAGATGCCCCCTCAGAGCCTCACGCTTTGTCAGAGGTGGATAAATCTCGAGTGTGTCGTTGACTCATGGTAGGACCAGGTCTGAGGGTGTTAGGATTAAGGGCATGAGTTCTACCCACCCTAAGTCTGAATAAGATAAAAGGGGCAAAAGGACACTCTTAAATTCTCTTGTTGCATTTGCTGTCTTCTGCCAGCATGATCTGTTGCTCCTCTGCCACCCTGCCTTGGAGCCAGTCGATTATGGACTGAAACCTCCACAAATTGTAAGCCAAATAAACCTTTCCCTCTTTAACTTTGAGAGTTGGATACTTTGTCTCAGCAATGAGAGAAAAGTATCTAAGACAGAATTTGGTACCCAGAGTGGGGTCATTGGTGTAATATTACCTGGCCATGTGGCTCAAGAGCCTGTGGAACTGGCTTGTGGGAAGAGGAAGAGCTAAGAAAAGTTTGGAGATGCTGGATGAAGAAGAAGAGCTGGAACACCTTAGGCTGCTCTGTGTGGGAAGTTCTGATCAGAACTCAGAAGACCAGAAAGGTGGTAAAGACCGGGCTCAGGAAGTTCCAACTAGAAAGAAGGACTGCAGAGGCTGCTGGACTCCAGACAATGCATATTATAGCTTGGTAGAAAGTTTGTTTTTATTTTGCTTGTATCTAGAGATTTTGCCTGAGGCTGAAATTAAGGGCGGCAGACTAATCTTGTAGAAGAAATTTCAAGACAGCCTAATGTTGAAGCAGTGGCATGACTACTCTTGGGGGCTTTTGGCCAGATTTATGTTGAGAATCAAGGGCAAAGAGCCCAGCAGAATGATTAAAAACATTGTGAGTTTGGCCAGAAAGGAAGCTCCAATAAAGCTATAGACTGCAAAGGTAAGAGGAGAGGAGATCTTGATTGCTGAGAAGGAACAAGAGAATGGAAAAGATGGCATCATAAAAAGCAGCAGGACTCTACCCTTTCCAGCCTCAAAATTGCAAAAATGGAAGACTTTGCTTTGAGGAGAAAGCCCCAGAGCACTATGTTCCAGACTGGTGGCAGCCTAAAGAATTTGTTCCTTGGGGTTGAGTTCATAATGCTCAGTGATCCAGGCACTCCACTTAACCCCTACAGCCAAGAGAGAAAGAAGCCTGGCTACTGCTCCAGCTGGCAGCAGACCTTGGCATCATCCACATGGCACTGGTTGTAGGCGCAAGCATAATGGAAGAGTTGTGGTGTCAGAAAGGCTTCCACCCAGATTTCAGAAGAAGGCCTGGGAGGCCAAGCAGTGTGCCCCTGAGAGGGCAGGGTGTGAAGCTGTGAGTGTGAAGCTGAAGGTGCAGTGGAGACCCCAGAAGTTTGAGGAAGCCGGGACGTGGATAGTCTGAGGAAAGCTACAAGGAGGGAGAAGAATCATCCCAAAGAGAAACCTTGGGAGCTACAGCCATCTCCAGTGCCTAGCAGCAGAGCCACCCAAGCCCTTTGGAGTGTACAACTTGCACAGATTGGTGGGGATGCTGGAAGTGGAGCTGTGGGATTTAATGTTGCCCTGGTAGATTTTGGACTTGCTTTGGTCCCATTCCTTTGTATCTCCATTTGTAACTTTTGGAATGGTAATGTCTATCTTGTGCCATTGAATGTTGGAAGTGTTTAACTTTCTTTTCATTTGTACAGGGGTTTGCAGCTAAGAGTTTGCCTTCAATCTCAGAGGAGACTTTGGACTTGGATTTTCAGCAATGCTGAAACTGTTAGGGCTTTGGCAACACTTGGAGATGGACTGAATGCTTTTTTGGATAAAGGGATATGAATGAGTCTTTGGGAGTCAGGGGCAGAATGTTATGGCTTGTACAAGCCTCATGTGTTTTCAGAGGTGGATAAATCTAGAGTATGTGATTAACTCATGGTGGGGCTAGGACAGAGGGCACTAGGATTCAGGTCCTGAGTGCTACTGAATAAAATAAAAGGGGCAGAAAGACACTGTTAAGGTCTCTTGTTGCATTTGCTGTCTTCTGCCACCATGAACTGTTGCCCCTCTTCCACCCTGCCTTGGAGCCAGCTGATCATGGAGCCAGCTGCCTTGGAGCCAGCTGAAACCTCTATGAATTATAAGCCAAATAAACCTTTCCCCCTTTAACTTTGAGTGTCACGTAATTTGTCTCAGCAATGAGAGAAAAATAACTAAGACAGAGGTCAATAGATCCACTGGTGCATGCTTATAAATTAAAGCTTGTAATATAAATTTGTAATTCAGAGCTAATAGCAATAGGACAAATAAAAATGGTACGGGCAGCAAGCAGTAGCCTCTGGAGAATGGGATTTATGGAAACGACTTTGCATACATTTATTTGTCATTGGAAATAAAAGCCTACACATGATTGTCTTACTACTATGTTAAAGAAAATACCCAAAATATAAGAGAGAATCAAGCCATGGTGAGCCTTGAATGACTCAATGACATTTGTATTATATGCTTCACAGTACAGGCTCACATTGCTTGACAGCACTGCCTAGGACTTCAGTTGGCAATTAATGCACAGAACAGCAATTACTTACCAGTGGACATGACAGAATGGCAGAGGTTGATGGGTGACTGACAATAAGGGAGATGCCCAGAAACATCTGGGTGAAAAGTCTTGTCTCAGATGGCTCTGGTGTCTGATTTATTCCCAGTCCATGTACAGGAAGTCACAGAGTTTATCCAGAATCTTGATACGTGTCCCTTCCTCTCCAGCGTTTTCTCCAGTGTTTACTCCAGCGTTTACTCCAGCTCCTAAAATCATCTCCTGATTGAGAGCAAGGAAGTGTATTTTCCTGCCACTGCATCTGAGAAAGGCTCTTCTTCAAAATGGTCACCTCTCCAACGCTGGACAGAATGACAGAAAGGTAAGGGTATAAACATGACTGCTAGAGTTCCAGCTTCAGTATTTATTCTGAGTCCACACCGTGGTGTTTTCACCTTATGATGGTGCACACAGGAGGGCATGATGTTTCCTTCAGTAACAGGCAGCAGACAGAAGCTCCTATCTGCAAACTGAGTGCAGGCAGACCCAACTGTGGGAGTTTGAAATGGGGCCAAGTAGACCTTTTTCCTTTTTGGACCATCTTGCCATATTCTTCCCTTTATCCTAACTATCCTAGTCTTTGTCATGGGACAATGCTGCCTCTTAAGTTCATGTAAGATGCAAGGTAACACAACAGGATTGTTGCCTAAAACTAAGCTGCTACATACTCAAATCTTATTGTTTTACTACCTTATCAAAGTTATTCTCCTTTGTATTTTTGAGAAGGTCCTAGGAAAAAGAAAATTTTGGTCCAAACAAGAATAATGGAGGAGTATTTCTCTAGTGACTGCTTACAAAGATGACAAAAGTTAAGAGAAAGAAACAATGAATGGCTGTGCACCCTTAAGAAAGAACAGTGATGCACTACTTCCAGCTCTAAATTTATAAGCATAAAGGAAAAATCATTCTCCAGAGAGAGTGTAGTCATACGTGAAGTTGTAGCAGTAGGGGAGGATGACTAATCAGGGAGAGGCGCTACCACTGCCAACATGAGTGCCATATGAAGAATGGGATGAAAATGCCCAAATCCCTCTCCTCTTGCCAATCAGTCTCCTGATGGTGTCTCCCAGTGGCTTGATTCAACCAAACAAGGAGAAAAAGATCTCACTGAGGAAGGTCATGGAAGGCACACTCTTGGGATGTCAAACAGGGTAGAGAAGGACAGAATGAGAATCCTCATGGCAAAGGGACACTTTTCTCCTATCTCTTATATCTCTCTACTTCTTGGAGTTTTTTCTATGTAAATATCAGTGAGTCACTGCTCGTTTCATCTCCATTGGAGTTATTTTTTCACTGTTTGTGGCTTCTTCCTTTACTGTCACTTTTGTGGAGCATTCACCTCAGTGACCAAAAATGCCTTGAGGACAAATGTAATTTAAAAAGGAGCCACATTCTTTATTGGATAAAGTATGCATTTAGCTGCTCGGATAGAGTAATGACTTAATCAGGAACATTTTAGACTTCTTCTGGAGACTCCAAGGCATCAGACTCAAAGACTCCGCAAACTGTTGCTTCCCAAACCCTAGAGGGGCACCATCATCTTTGTGGTCCCACATACTCCCAGGCACATCAGCTTTTTGGCCTTGAGGAAGAGGAGGAAAAGGAGAGACTATTCCCTGTCTATTAATACCATGACTCAGGAGTTAGTCACATCACTGTTCTCCTCTTCCAACTTGGTACAATCCAGAATCAAGGGAGACTGAGAAGTGTCACCCTTTTTTCTGACTTAATTCAATCACTATATGACAAGAGAGGAGAATGGATACTGGAAGGCTACTGAAAGTCTCTTGTCTCTGATTTCCTCTCAGATTCTGGTTCAGATGAAGTTTTTTGGGAGATCCTCATAAATAAAAAACAGCATGACAGAGAATAGTTGAAAAATCTTAAACAGGGCTCTAAGGGCTGGCATTGAGCATGCTTTCGAGGATGTGATTTCAGGGAAATCTATCTATGTAAACCTCGGTTTCTTTCCATGGTAAGTGAATACACTATGCTAGATGATCTTTAAGGGGCACATGCTAAATATTGTGGTACAAAAATGAAGAAAACAGGAATAATCTACTCTTCATGAATAATCTACCTTTTCAAGTTTGATGAGGTAGCTATCACACCCTAGAAACATTTATGAATTAATAGGTGTCTTGATGAGAATAATAAAACTTCTATGTTCTCCCATTTCTACTTGAAAACAACCATGACTGTAGGAGCTTGTCTTTCTAGGGGAGCTCTTGATGGATGCATTCACTTCTGGAAGCCTCTCTTCAGGCCCAGAAGAGGAAGCAGTCCCTCTCTACTTGTGTATGTGCAGATCAGCTGTGTACTCAGGATTCTAAAGACATGGCTATCTTTGGAGGCAAGTGAGGGTCCTGAATTCTATTACTATCTGTTCATAATTAAATCCTACCCCATTGTTTCTTGTGCTCTATCTTCCCTTTCTCTTAGTTTATAGAATTTACTGATGTTAGATTTAATTTTCATCACAATTTTTATTGTTATCTTTGATTTACCTTAGGCATTACTTCTCTACTTTTGTTTCATCTGCCTAAAACTGACATACAGTCATGGTGGGGTCAAAGGTCCAATCAAAGAGTGGACCCTAAGGCAGATGTACAGTCAAATTACACTGTGAGACCAAGAACACATTAGTCATCTTTTTTTTTTTTTGCTCTAATTCCATCCTCTGCAAAATTCTTACCTTGTAGGCTCTTGAGATGATTACAAGAGAATGCTGAATGAGGTCTCAGCCACTATTGCTCATGCAGCTGTAAGCTGGTCCTCTTTCTCTTGTTGTGTTCATAAACATCTCTCTTTGTATTACAAACCCTGCATGTTTCTGCTTTATCCTCATAGACTCCTTTTCCACTAAAGCTTGCATCAGCAAAGGGACCATGTAAGGATATCCTTTGAGAGAATGAACAGACTGAATGGAGTACGATTATATTGTACACTCCACAGAGCAGCACTTCATAGCTCTCCATGGACAGTGCCATATTTCAAATACCTCTTTTGCTTGACTCTCAGGCACCACTGTAACTCATGGCTTTCTCTTCTAAGCTGCTGACCAATTCAGCTCCAACACAAATCTAACTCCTACTCTGTGAATCAAGATGCTTCTAATTCCTGAGAAAATCCATATTTAATCTTTACTTCAAAGGACTTAAATGGTCAACTTTAAGTATTTGGGCACACATAAGTTAATTCTTGTAAACACAGAAATGTCCACAAGAATAATTATGATGAACGAAATCTTCCTAATGTGATATATATGTTTTATAATTACTTTGTTTTCATTTTTTCACATTTAACCCAAATCATCCTCTATTGTAAGGATTCCCATTCTTTCCTTCATTCACTGAAGAAATATTTAGTACAAAATATGCCATAGAATTGCACCCTGGGGATATAAAATGTGCTCCATATTCTTTATTCTTCCATATTCTTTGGAAAACTTGTGTTTTGAAGAGAAAGGTCAGTCTGTAGAGTCAACAAGTACTAGGTTTATATCTATAGTCCAGGACTAACAAGCTGTGGATAGATTACTTAATGATTCCAACCCTCCCTTTTATAATAGGAACAATAATTCCCATATAACAGGGTGGTCCTGAGAGTAAGTGATCATACAGCATGTTCTCAAAGTTGTTTGTGTTCTCAGGTACACCAGTGAAGGGCTTATGAGCGTGGATCCAACCATAACATCCCAGGGGATGGACCCCACGACAGTGAATGGAACTGACGAGTCCTTAGTACAGACTTGTTATGAGACTTTGATCCCAGACTTCCTGATCATCATCATTGGCCTGGTAGGCCTGCCAGGAAATGCAGTTGTCATCTATCTCCTGGGATGTCGCATGCGCAGGAACACCATTTCAGTCTACATCCTCAACCTGGCTGCATCCGACTTCCTCGTCCTCTGCTGCCACTGTTTTGGTTCCCTGCTTATTGTCATCAGGCCCTTCCATCACCTCTATATAGGTATTAGTTTCATCCTAATCAACATAGCACTTATTCCGTACATCGCAGGTCTGAGCACACTCAGTGCCATTAGCATGGAGCGCTGCCTCTCTGTCCTGTGGCCCATCTGGTACCGCTGCCACCGTCCCAGACATATGTCAGCTATTGTGTGTACCCTACTATGGGCCCTATCCCTGCTGCTTAACATCCTGGAATGGAACTACTCTGGCTTCCTGTATGAGTTTTTTAGTAGTATTTGGTGGAAAAATTTTGATTTCATCGTAACTGCATGGCTGATTTTTTTATTTCTAACTCTATCTGGGTCCAGCCTAACCCTGGTAGTCAGAATCCTCTGTGGTTCCCGACGGATGCCGGTAACCAGGCTGTATGTGACCATCCTATTCACAGTCCTGGTCTTCCTCATCTGTGCCCTGCCCTTTGGGCTTTTCTGGTTCCTGTTACTCTGGCTTCCGATCACTCTTCCTGACTTCTCTTGCTATTTTTATATAGCTACAACTGTCCTGTCCTGTGTTAACAGCTGCGCCAACCCCATCATTTACTTCTTCATTGGCTCCTTCAGGCAGCAGCATCAGACCCTCAAGCTGGTTCTTCAGAGGGCTCTGCAGGATTCCTATCATGAGAATGAAGGTGAAGACAGACATGTCCAGGAAACCCTAGAAATGTCAGGAAGCGGAGTGGCTTAGGGCTGAAGAGCCTCCACTTTTATCAGACATATGTGGTTTTGAGAGTCAACGCCACAGTATACAATATTCTCTTGGTCTCATGCCTTGCAAATGCCTTGGTGATTTTGTGCTGCCTTTAAATAGCCAATGCCTTAGCTTTTCTAGTTTTCTTAGAGAAAGTGCAAATACAAAAATTCCCAACCTTTTTGACATTCTTAATGAATTTCTCAAATTTCTCCTGAATATGTTTTATTGGAAATTTTCATTACAATGGAAAAAATTTCTATTCAATACTGTATCGTGAAATTGATAAGGATTTCCTACATGAAGGTGTCAGAAAAGAAGATATCTTATTTCTCTCAGACTGTGTTGGACAGAGAATCCTGATTTTCTCTGATTGGGGCATGCTGCAGATAAAAAGCTAGGTTTTGAATGATTGAACTCTCCTGCAACTGTTTATCCCTCAGTCTCTGAGTTTAGGGGAAATAATTTCTTTAGAGACAGATTCTCTCTCTCCTTGCATAAGTCCAGGAAATTGGATTTATTAAAATTCTTCTAGTGACACTTGTCCATTGAATGGACAAGTTAACTTTGGATTCTGGGAATTAACACCATGAACTTTACCCATGAGATCTGGTATGGAGTTATTTAGTTATTTTCCTGACCAGTCTAAGTCTAGAATTATTTCTCACTTATTGAAATTCTGGGATATATAAAAATACAAAATATGGGAGTGCCAGGTTGAAGAGAGTACTGGACGTATGGTCAGTGTACCTGGATTCCCAAGCTGACCCCATGCCCACCCCAAGCAACCCAAGCCAATGTTGGGTCATTGAATTGCCAAATCTAAATCTTATGTTATTGGTGGTCTGGAAGTTTTTAGAATAAGACAGTGGGATTTGACTTCGTATCAATATGGACCAAAGGCAATATCTAGAAGATATGGATTGCTATTGCAAGGCTAGCAGCCTCAAAAGTTCATGGCTGTGTACCATGACTACTCTCAGGAGTTATCTGAAGTCAGGAGAGTTGGCTGTGGTACACTTTCTATATGATGTTGTGGTATGTATTGGGCACCAGTATCACCAGTATACCAATACTGGCTGTAAAAATAGATGTGATTTGATTGCTGTTGTCCATTATACTAGAGTTTGAGAAAAGAGATTTCTTTTCACACATATCTTTCTAAAATGGTACAACTAGTCTGAATATTTCCAGGATGTAAACACAAAGGGAACAGATTGCTAGAAGATATCAGTGTGTGTGTGTGTGTGTGTGTGTGTGTGTGTACTTGTACGCTCGTGTGTGTTGGCCAGTAGAGAAGGAAGCCTTTCTGAAATACTTAGAATTTGAATTGATGTTTGTATAATTTACCAAGCATGTGCCCTCTGCCCCTTTTGCCTGACCCATAAGCTTTTGAAATTAGCAAGGAAAGATATGTGAAACCTGGATAGATAGAAATGGGAGAAGAGGCAATTTATAGTACTATTGTTAATAAAAACATAGAAGTAGTTCAGGGTACAGAGATAATTATGTAAATAATTTTCATTTCTTTGTTATGACAAGAACTTAATAGTGGTTATAAGATCCCTTTTAAAAAGTACTTAAGTCTGGATTACTATCAGTATTAAGGAGTATCTTTAATGGCTATGTCATTATAGGGGTTTGTATTAGTTTCATAAAATTAGTTGGTGTCGAGTCTATAATATTGGGAAACGCAAAAGGGCCAGTCAGGTCAATGCAGGAGGACAAGACAAAAAGCAGAGTCCTGTTTTCTGAACTCTCTTCCAAAGAGTATGTCCAAACATACAGAGTCAGAAGTCAACAATACAAGCATCAAGGATCTGAGCGAACGATATGGTAGATTGGAGAAGTGAGAAACTGGAATGCACTGGTTTCTCTGCTGCAGTCTCTTGGCTTGCAGTAGGCCCAGAACTGGGAACAGGGGACCTAGTTCATCTTTAAATTCAGCATTTTACTCCTCACATAAAAATCAACTAAAAAAGTTTTGTAGCCTTGGTATGGATGATAGCGTAAGAGTTGGTAACCAGTTGTCCACTGGTTAACGTATTCAAAGTCTGAACATCACCTTATACCTCTTTTGAAATGGAACACAGAGCATCTTGGTATTTTTTTATGAGATGTTGTAATATGCTGTTACATGTATGACAGAGTAATTAATAAGTTCCAAAGAGAAGTGATGCAGGCCTGAGGCTTTAGGTGTATCTTAGACATTCTATTTACTTATTTATGTAAATAGATGTGGTAAGAATTTCAATTCATGCTTCATTTTAGTTCTGCATGTGTGAGTACTTATTATCCAGTCACATATGACTGAATGATCGGAACGCATGCTGACAAGTGTGTCTGTGATGGTTGAGTGATTGTGTCAACTTGAGAAGTTTAGTTAAGAGAAGCTTAGCTAAATTGGCTCAGCAGTTCCCTAGGGCAGCTCCTCACCTGGATGGTATAAAGGGGACATGAGGAAGGACACTGCTACTTTCGTTCTTTGGAGGTGCTCCAGTCTTTGCCTTCACCTTGGACATCATCTCTTGGCTCCTGCTGTAGACTTTTCAGCCTCCATCCCAGACCCATTGACCTCCTGGTATGGACTCCCACGGGACACTGCAGTGAGCTCCAGACCTCTGACTGAATCCTTCAGTCTCCAGTGTGCAGACAGATCCTCTGCACTCTTCCTCATCTGACTTTGTGGGTGGCCATCGTAAGCCAATCTTGTAATTTCTTATACATTTGTATATCTTGTGTTATATCTGTTTCTCTAGTAAATGCTGACTGATAAAGTGTCCTTAGGAAATATTGTTGTAGGAATATCATATAGTTTCCTTCCTTGAACCTAAACAGTATAGCCTACTAGGTATCAAAGCTATATGTTTTGTCTGCCTACCTATCTATCTATCATCTATCATGCCTATGGTTTAGCTTTCATTATTAGGGTCCTCCCTGATGAATAAACCAATGAGATGTTACACCAAGCCCAAAAGAAAAGTCAAATGGCTGTAGGAGCATCAGTTATGCCTGTGTCTTTCATTCTATTCCATTTTTCCACATTTCTATTTTTGTGTCAGTACCATGCTGTTTTTTAAAAAAATCATAGCTTTGCAGGATAATTGGAAATCTGAAGATATCCAAAGTACTTCTGTCTTCAATCACTGACACACTGATCCATTTGTAGCCTACCAACCCTAACTATCATCAAACTGTTCTTATAAGAGGTCAAATTTCTCTCCTGCCCATAAATATAGTCTACTTTACCCTCCATATACTGACCAATTTTAGTCACAAGAGTGCTGCAACTACTTATGAGTCTTCTTTCTGACTTGTTTGGTCTACTTTTACATAAACACACTCACCCTCATTACACTTCCCATACCTCTAACAACCACATACTCAGTCTTTATATCTATAATTTTATCATTCTAAGAATGTTACATATGCAGAATATTACAAAATTTAATATTTTTCGTTGTCCTTTAACTTATTATGCTGTCCTCAAGGTCTGTCCAGTTTCTGATAGGTATAAAAAGTTTTGTTAATTAAAAAAATTGTTTAACCTAAAATGTACCCATAAAATTATTGAGTAAAAAAAGCCAAGATATATTATGTAAAGGGACAAATTCCTAATAATGAATGTCAACATATTGTATACCTAAAATCTACCAAGCCATAGATCACCACGCCTGGCCTTACAAATTTATTTTAATATATTAGCTGTAAGTTTTCTATGTAGTGAATATGCTTATGTAAATTTGAATTTTTCAGCTGCTTTGGAATTATTTCTGTCGATTACAATTACCATTGAAAACTATATGCAAAATCTATATTTGAGTAAGTTTCCTCTTAGTTGGAGTGCTTCAGTGTTGAAATCAAAGTTCCCCATTTCCCAAAACTGTGACCATTAGATAACAATATGTACTAATAATTGATAATGCAATGTAAGTGGTTTTTCTTAATGTTAATCTTTCCATCACATCTTTGCATAACATTACTGTTCCTTTGTGTTAATTTTGTTTTTGTGTTTCTTTCACTTCCCCTTGTAGTAACAGTCTGTTCCTAATTCCTAGGAGTGTTGGATGATTCAGTATGTAAAGATTTTTGTCATGCATTGCCATTGTGAAATACTTCGTGTTTCCTATTTACTTTGTTTTATTTTTTGGTTATGTTTTGAAATACAGTCATTTTGTTTTAAAAAAAAATTAATGAATAAAAAAATTGTTCAGTTGTGTTCAATTGTACTGTTTTATTTTACTATTTAAAAGGGTGAAAATTTTTTATTTGTCTTCACTTTGGATGTTAGCATTGCAACTGCTTTAAATTCAAAACTTTTCAAGTAAGCAAACTCTTAGCTGTGCAACTCTATAAAAATTACAAGAAAGTTAAATACTTCTAACATACAATGGAATAGAGTAAACATTTTCTTTCAAAAAGGAGGAATAGGAGGAGAGGAAAGAATTGTACAAAGGAAGGCCAAAACCTAGTAGGGCAAATATTAAATCCTGTAGCTCCATGTCCAGCACTCCAGGCAGGTCGTGGTGAAATGTGACTTCAGAGGGGCAGGCATCCCCTACTGAGGGTGGCTCCTCTCACTGCCTGTGGCTTTCCTTAGTAGATACTCTATAAGTGTAACTTTCTGGTTTCTCCACAACACTTTTGGCTTGCTCTCACAGCTTCATGCACTTCCCTCCCAGGGGCACACTGCCTGACTTCAGCGGCCTTCTTTGAAATCTGGGTGGGAGCTTTCATGACCCCACAACTCTTGCATTTTGCATACCTGGAGAACCAGCACCATAAAGATGACATAAAGGTTTGATGCCAGCTTGACCAGGAGCTGGGTCCCCTTGTATTATGGCTGCAGAGCCCACTGAGTGCCTGGATAAGTGGATCGTGGTGAAAATTGTCCTGGGGAATGTATTCTTTACGCAGATCTTCTGTTGCAGGGCCCTCAGGGGGGTTCTTCTCAAATGCAAGCTTTAGTCTTACATCCTTGAGTCTGTGAAGGGTTT